GGGGGGGGGGTCGTGATTGTGAGTCAGCCTGGTGCAGCTGGAGCAGAGGAGAGGCAGGGGAAGGGCCTAACGAGTTTCTGCCTACTGTCTTCAAGGAAAGGCCCATTCTCACCCTAGAACAGAATGGCTCCAGTCCGTGGGGACCTGAGCTTCAGGGAGGTGCAGGGGGATAGGCAGGGGTACGCCTTCATCCCAGCTGCAGCTCCTACAGCTGCTGTGCCCCTGGGGCCAGCGAAAAAGGCCCCACCAGCCAGCTGAGAGGGGGGCCGTGTTGCACCTGGGCTAGTAGCCGCTCCAGGCCTTCCCAGGCCTGGCTCACACCCTCTCGGCTTTGTGCCAGGTGTTCGACTGGCAGCTCGCTGAGAGAACTGCCAGCCGACACGACGCTGTACAGCTCACACAGACTGTGGCGTGCCCGAGCCAGCTGCCGCTGGGTCTCCCCGGACAGGCCCTGCAGGCCCGAGGACAGCCCGCTGTAGGCCACGTGCAGCTGCCCAATGAGCCCGCAGATTCTGGACAGTGCCCCTGCCTCATCCACCTGTAGGAGGAAGAGACGAGGTGAGTGGGGCCAGGAAGCCACCGATGGGAGACCCCGGCCCCGCTGTACACACCTCTTGGACACTGGTTCGCTCCACTCCGGTGCTCGAACCCTGGTCTGGCCGTGACTGCTTGGTCTTTTCAATCTGGGAAGAGAGGCCCCAGAGGAGTCAGGGACCGTATCTGCTCCCCACCAAAGAAGTGGCACTGAAGACCTCATGTCTAGAACTTTTCCAGAGGTGCTGCAAATATGCTGAGGCCATCGCACCACAGAGGACTTGTCTTATACATGGCTGTGGTTCATTGTCACTGACTCAGCCCCCAACTCAATAGTGACCCATATATGACAGAGAAATGCTGCTCAGACCTGTAGTATCTATCCTCACAGTGGGTTGCAATTTAGACCTTTGTGATCCATGGGGTTTTGCATGGGCTGATTTCTGGAAATTGGTCACCAGGATATTCTTCCTAGTCTTAGTCTAGAAACTTCATTGAAACCTGTTCAGTATCCTAGCAACATGTAAGCCTCCATGAACAGTTGGTAGCTTTGCTTAAAATAAACACTGCCCAGGAATTGAACCCTGGTCTTTCCCGCATGGAAGGTGCTAATTCTGTCACTGAGCAATTGAAATGCAGTAATCCGAACATGTCTTTGTAGTGGGGGGAACTGAGTTCGGTTCCTGCTCACCCGTCCACCAGAATAAAACTTCCACTGGGTCAAACGGTGTCAACTTGGGGACTCTCCCGCTCCTGACTCAGTGTGTGGATTTCAAGGAGCCAGATGATGATGGATGGAGAGTCTCTTGGGAGGTCTGGAATCCCGTAACTCAAGTCCTCACCTAGCATGATTTTGGCCCCCAGGGAACATTGAACCATGTCTGGGGGCATTTGTGCCTGTCACAACTTAAGGGGTGCTACGGCGCTGTGGGGTAATGCGCCAGACTGCAAAGCTGTTTGAACTGCAAGGTTGGTGGTTCAAGCTTACCAGCTGCTCCTCAGAAACCCTATCTAGGGTTGCTATGGGTCAGAACCAACTCAATGGCACTTAACAACAACAATTGGCATTATATGGGTGGAGGCCATGGATACTGCTCAACACCCTACAGTGCCAGGGATGACCCCACCCCAGAGAAGGACCCAGCCCCATGTCAGCAGTGCAGGGAGGTGGGGTCAGAAACCCTGGACTAGATAGAGGAAGTGGGGGCTGGGAAGAGGGAGATGGCTCTGTCCCTTGGATGGTATATAAGTCCTCACCAATCAGCCCCTTGTCCATGGCAACCTGTGGCCTTTACCTGTACTGTCCCCACCCTTGTGCTCAGCCACATCCACCACCTTCCTTGGACACACTTAGTGTCCCCCCAAGGGATGACTCCTGCCCAACCCCCATTTCATCTCCCCATGAATGAGTCTGCTCGTTTCGTGTTCCCTTCATCTGTTCTGGAAGCTTCTGGTGTCTCCTATGTCCTTCCCTCCTGAGGACCAAAGCTCCACGAGCACAGAGCCACATGTCATACTGGCCACTGTCCGTCCCCCCCCACCGCCCCCATGCTCAGGGCAGTCCCTCTGGGCTGGGAGGCTCTTACCAGCCGGAAGGACTCCTGGAGCTGGGCCAAGGTATCCCTGGCTTGGAACTGGCTGTCCTGCAGGTGGCTCAGGGCGTGCTCGAATGCACGCTGGCGGAACCCAGGTGCCAGGTCACTCAGACGGACAAAGTAGCTCCCCTGGTCAACTGCGGGCACCTTGGGTCCAGGCTCGGAGGCAGCCAGCTGAGCTGGAAAGGAAGTCAAAGCCAATCAATCGATGCCTTCCAGGACATCAGGGACTCTGGTGAGGCCACCCCCTGTGAGGGACATTTCTGCCTCAGATCTCACCTTGCTCCTGCATGCTCATGGGCTCAAAGATGACCCCCAGCTTGTCCATCTCATCTGGCACCAGGGCAATGTCCGGAGCTCTGCCGAGGCCTAGAGTGGTGGCGGTGGGCTCTGCATTCTCCCTGCCTGGGGCAACACCTGCACAGATGGTGTTGGGGACACTGGACAGCGTCGAGGATCCGTCCTTGGAACAGGTGACTCCACTCCACATATTGTCCTGGGTCCCTGGTAAGAGACTGTGGAAAGTGCTGAGGCCGGTGTGGACCACCCCTGAAGTGATGTTACCGGCACCAACCAGACCCGAGGACACAGTGGCCTGGGCCCCAGCCACAGCAGACTTGGTGGTGTCCAGGCCCCCCTGAACAACCCCTTTGGCCATGTCCACTGCCCCGGTCACCCCACTGTAAATGGTGCCCTTGGTGCCGGTCAGCACATTCTTACTGGTGTCCAGCCCCCCGTGGATGGCTCCCTTGGCCATATCCACTGTCCCAGTGATGCCGGTGACCAGTGTGTCTTTGGTACCGGTAAGGACCTTCTTGCTTGTGTCCAGGCCAGTCTGGACAGTACTTTTGGCCACATTCACTGCCCCAGTGACTCCAGTGGACATGGTGTCCTTGGTGCCAGTGAGTACTGACTTGGTGGTGTCCAACCCTCCCTGGACAACTCCTTTAGCAACTCCCACTGCCCCGGTCACCCCACTGTAGATGGTGTCCTTGGTGCCGGTCAGCACATTCTTACTGGTGTCCAGGCCAGTCTGCATGGACCCTTTGGC